CAGGCAGATAACAGTGATAGCCCTAGGGCAAATGCAGTTTAGGCAGGGATTATTTAATTATTATGGTTGGCTAGCATTCTGGACAGGCGTGTTAGGCGTTTTTTGGAGAAGTATAGCTGCTTGCAGTGTCAGGCGATTGCTCTCTCAGCCTCCAGTGGCTAGCACTGACCACTAGCCTACTGATGGCTTTTGTGAACTCAGCAGGGCAGGAGCAAATGGGGATCATCATGCTGATAGCACTGATTTCTTGCAAGATTTAAAATGTTGAGTGGAAATCCTGAATAATGTGCATTCCTGTGTCCCCTGTGCACTGTCCCTCCAGCAGCTCTTTGCCTGGCTGCCTGCAGTGATAGTTAACATCCCACAAGGACACTGGTGCTTTTTCTTTCCCTGCTTTAAACCACCCCTGCCTTGTTCAGTAAGGTTTGAGTTTGGCAGGCACCAACAAAAGAAAATCGTGTGAACCCAGGCAAGAGTGCAAGCAGCTGAGGTGATCTGTAGAGAGCATGAGAAGAGGGAAGGGACACATTGCAGAGTTCTAATAAGCTGTAGTCAAGACTTAGCTCATACAAGCATTGCCCGTAAGAGGCTAGAGAATGAGATCAGATACGAGTGTGTGCCTCAGTTTAACAGTCAGACTTCTTGTGTGGCCCATTTCTAAGTGTTTCACTTAAGAGAGTCTTCTTGTCTTCAGAGAGAATCTGGTCTATTTTTGCTGCTCCGTCATAGGCTCCCATTTACCCAGTGGCATGTGCTGGCTACAGTGGATAATATCCCAGCTTTTAAAACTGAGTCAAAGATTTTGTGCAGCATCTCAGTCCATTTCTGCAATGTCTCACTCTCCCTTAAGTCATTTGTAAGCGGCTTCCCCCTCTCCCACAATTCTCTTTGAAGACTGGACACAAAAAAATGGATCAATGCAGTTGGAGTAATCTCCACTCTCCCCATTTCCCAAGAAAGGATTTTCATTGTTAAACAAGTTGAGATGTCAGAGAGATTCAAAGCATTGAGACTCAAAGTGGGGGTGAGTCTTTAACCTTATGTTGGAAAAGACCTTTTTAGTGCTTAACTCGCATGCATTGTGAAGGAGCTATGCGTTTCTTAAAGCCAGCCTTTTGACCTTGGGTTCAGTCATGATTAAATGTTTGCTATTCTTACGTGTAGTACCTGCCTCATCGAAACGATGTGCCTTTCGTGTAAGATCACTGGTCCAGTGACAAGTTATTTTCAAAATGTAGCTGCTGACTGAATATGAACTGCAGACAGTGAATGAATATTGGCTGCAGCCATGATCAGCTTGAGATTTGTCTGCCATTATGCAGAAGTTTGGTGATTGCAGCAAAGGACTCCTGAGATGAATTTCTGTGTCTGCTGCTGGCTGTATGGTGGGTGTCACTGGACCTCTGGCCCCGGTTCACCCTACTGTTGATGAGGGAGAATAAATATCTCTGTTGTAAGACTTTAATTAACTTAGGGCCTGGAAAGCCTCGAATGAAATGTGCTGGGTTTTTTTTTCTTGGCTTTATACTTCCTAGCATAACAGCAAAGTCCCTTCCCTAAGGGCTGCCATATTTTATGGCATTGATGGAGATGATGGAAGACTGGATCTACTCTCAGAAGAATTTCTTTGCTAGGCCTTGTTCTTCTGAAGCACAAAATGGAGCGGGCAAACAAACAGCAGTGCTTTATGTCTGTTGACTGGTAGTGCTGAGAGCGCTAAGCCAAAGCATTGCGTCTTTGGAAGAAACCTTGTGAATCAGAAATTGCAAAGCACAGTACCAGCAGTAGGCTTGGTTCTGGTCTCTCACTGGTTTTTAACGGTAGCTCCCCATACCTCAGTGGAGTTGTTGCCTTTTTTCACCAGTGTGACCGAGAGCAAAATTAGTCCTCATGTCTTTTAGAATTACCGACATAGGCATGGGGCTTTCTGTCTTGGAGCCCTGGAGCTTGACACATGATATGCTCTGTGCCTCAAATGCTAAAGATAACAAGAGGATAATAAACAAGTTGGATTTATTAGAGGACATAGCCAGGATTCTCAACCGGTTGTTTGGGGTCCTGGACACAGCCTGGGGCTAGGGTTCTCCACTTGGACCAAGCCATATCACTTGCTCAACTGATCTTCTTTCCTGAGTTGCTACCTTGCACCCAATTCCTTTGACTGTTGTTTGACAGATGCACCCTGAGAAAAGAAATCTGTAAATCAGAAATAGTTTCCTTGAACTCTGTATTAACCACAGAATTTGAGACATTTTGCCTGCTGGGAGAGGGATTTCAGGACCTACCTGGAAAGTAGATGCGCCAGGGTTTCCACTGGCAAGAAGTAGGCAGCAATCTCTGAAGCATAGAAACCAAAAGCATATGTCTTTAGTTGTCTTCTTCCCTTCCCCTCCCCCTGACCTTTGTCATAGGAAGGCCTTGTGTCTACTGTAAAAATCAAACCTTGGGTTTCTATGTGATATTTTGGTGGCTGCTGCCATATACTATGTGGCTAGCTCAAGTCACAGTCTCTTGTAGCAGTTGTGTATGCATATTAAAACTCCCCAGGGGTTTATGATGCATGTTAACACAAAGGACTGGAAATTATTGCCGAACATAATACTAGATTTTTCAATGCATCATGCCCTTGGCTATAATTTTTCTTTCTCTCTCTTATTGGCTTAAGGTGGAATTTCTTTAGCTTCTCATATGTTTGTCAGTAATACTTCCATATTCACGGCTCTGCCACTCTTGTTGCCTTACTGGATTGCTCTTTGCTGTGTGTTAAGTACATCTCTTAACAGCTGTGGAAATCTCTGGTTTACATGTGACAAGTTGACCTGGCCCTACTCAAAGCTGATACTCTTCAGTCTTCTTTTCTTTCTGGGCCAAATCCTTGTCTGCTCTTCGGTATAACTGCATGATGTGTTCCTGTGTGTATTTTATCTAACTGTATTCCAGTGCTATCGGTAGATGCTGTGTATCTGAGTATGTTACACTTTGTTCCTCCCTAAAGAGACATCATCGTTTTATGCCAAGTTTGAAATGCTGATCTCCTAGCTTTTAGAACCTGAATCCAGGAGATAAGTGCTAAGAAGCTCTTTCTTGCAATCTTTTTCAGATCAAAAAAAGTCTCATGTTGGGAGCTCGCTTTGAGCTCAGCCTATGTCTAGTTTTGTCTTGGAACAGTTTCTGTAGTTCTTACTAATAATCAGAGGCCTAGTACACAGGTTAAGGAAATGGGGCTCTTTATATCAGTCATCTTTAAATCAGGACTCTGGGTTTCTATTTCCAATTCTGTTACTGACTTATAAAGTTGCCTCAGCTCTATGTTCTTTATTTTATTCATCTATAAGATGATAGTAGCAACTCTTTGCACAGGTGTTTTGAGACCTGCCTACTTAATATTAATGAGTTAGTAATTATCAGATCATTTGAAATGGGAAATGCAGAGTATTTCTCTTACAAGATAAGGCATACCACCTTCCACCCACTGACCAGCCCACTTGCAGGTAGATCTAGGGCAGTGGTTTTCAAACTTTTTTCATTTGTGGACCCCTAAAAAACTTTGAATGGAGGTACTGACCCCCTTGAATTGTAAGTGTGGATATTCACATACTTTTTACAGATCATAGTCTTCTCTTGTGGACCCCTTAGACATAGTCTGTGGACCCCCAGGAGTTTACAGATCACAGGTTGAAAACCACTGATCTAAAGAATATTCCATATTCATACCTCACCAAAGAGGTTGCCTTCCTCTTATCCCATCTCCACAAACATCCTTCTCTGAATAGCACCTCGGTGAATGTCACCTATGTCTATAGATCCTGGAGCTGAATATAAAATGCGTCGAGTAGGATATGTGATGGAGACATTTTACAAAGAGAAGGCAGTTCCACCAGTGAATTCTTTCCCTTTTCTTGCAGGACCAGCTCAAACTGAATGCTTTTCATTTGCCCCCTTCCTTTTACCTGTCACCCTCACCTGCCCTTTCCCCACCCCTACAAAGAACACTTTCTTTTCTCTTTTCTTCCCTTGCAGTCTAAATAATCTCTCAGTCCTTGTCCTCTTTAAATTGCACCATCCCCATGTGCTTACTACTTCAGTTTCTTTTTCTTTAGGCATACTTTGGAGCAAAGATTATGCCCTTTTATACCACTGGTTGCATGCCACTGTTGTTCAATGGAGAGGCAGCTTTTTGGAAAGAGAAGGAACAAACAGTGTCTAATGAGCTGTGAACTGTGTGCAGCAAGTATTTGGAAATGGCACTGGGTAACATTTGCAAAAATCTTGAATTAACACTACATAACTGTTCTATGAAATAGGTTGCAAAACGGCAGTCAGTGTGTGTGGACCAAAGAGGAAGAAGTCTGTAATTTGGCCTCCTGTCACCTACCTCCCCAAAAGGGAAAAAAGATCTGATTTAAGTTCAGAATGGAGCTGTAAATAACAGGGGCATAGTAATTGCAGCTTAGAGTTAGATGAAAATATTAGTAATTAAATGCTAACAGGTATCGTAAATGATGAAAGTCTTTACGTCGCTACTCAGGAGGTCTGTATTGGAGCTGAGACATGAATGCCAGAGTTAGTGCGTCACACTGAAGAATGCATGGAAAACAGAGGGGCAGTGTCCCCCTAAGTCAATAGAAAGCCTCAATAAAACAAGGAGGTGGTTAACCTCTGACAGTAAAAGTCTTTTGATCCATTGAGCCAACAGCCAACAAATTCTGTTAAACACACACCGTGCTATTAACAGTATTCATCTTTCAGGTCAGATTATGACGACTGGAGACCAGCGCTGGCCAGTTTGCTTCAACCTATCCCATTCCCCAAAGAGTAAGTTCACAATAAATGAATGGTTATAGAGTTCCTCTCATTGTTTTAAGGTGACATGTCTTACGTCAGTTAGACTGTGTGATAGGGGAGACCTTGACTTTTTTTTTTTTTTTTTTTTTACAAGTCCAACTGCATGTAGCTCCAGGCCACAAAAGGTGGAGGGGTACAAAAAATCTTTCTTTCTTCTGACTTCCCCATTTTTTCAAGGCAGTCCTGAAGGGGAAAGGCCAAGTGGATAAAGAATACAAATGGGGGGATGGGAAAAGCAAGTGACTTGCTGGACCGAGGCATTTTAGAGACCTGGTGAAGTCTTCAGCTGTTCCTATTATAGTGTTTGGATTAAGTGAAGATGCTGCCCTGCCACCTCAGAAGCAATCAGGCTCCCTCAGGAACCTATTAATGAGCATCAGTGTTTATAAAATGCAAATCTCCCAGGGCAAACATTACAGTCTTTAATTGTACAAATTGCTGGCTTATCATGCCCCCCCAGTGACCTGGTGCCTTGCAGCGGAGAGGTTTAACTCCTCGGTGCCATGCTACCTGGGCTACAGCAAGGCAGTGGCATCATTTACCTGAGTCAAACTTCCCAAGGATCCCATGGGGGAAAGTAAATCAGTACCATGATGCAACAGACTTTATCGAATGACCATTAATTGCTTTGCTGATGTACAATGCTAATTAGCTGTGCAGTGCAATTAAAGAATGCACCTGGTTCATTGACGTATCTAAAATCCTGTTTACAAATGTAATTTCCATGGCTAAGTCTTAAAGTCCTTTACTCACTTTCCACTGACATAGACCGCCCATGGAGGTTAATGAGAATTGTGCCTGACTTCGGCCTCATTAAAAACAACTATGATGCCTTGTGTACATACCCATTATTACCAGCTGGATGAATGGAAGGGTTTTTAATTGTGGTCTGTCCAGACATACTATCCTGTTCATGTCATTTAGGCAGTAGTTGCTTGGTGTGTTTATGGAAATAATTTGGAAAGAAACACAAAAAAAAAAAAAAAATTCTTATAGCTTTCTGTTTTTAATTTTAGGGCTCTTGCACATGAGAAATTCACAAAGTAAGTGTATGTTTACTTAAACTACCTTTTGGAAACAAGTCTGTGCTAGCAAAGACCTGTCATTCAGTATCATATCTCCAACACCTTTGTCCATGGGGGTCTGAGAACATGCTTTTTAGCGATAAAGTTGTGTGGTTTACTTTGTAATTTACTGCAGCAACAAGAGTCCAAGGACTAAAGACATTTGATACCAACAGAATTTACAAAACTGTTTGTCACTGTAGATCACTGAAATCTTTCCTAGCCTATTTTAAATAGGTACCGTCCTTGGCAATTGCTTTTAGACCTCATGCTTCCTTCCTGTAAATGCTGTTCAGCTTGTTTCTCTATAAACTGCATAAAGATATAAATCATTTAAAGTGTAATGCAAGGGAAATGTGACACCTGCATGAATTCTCTGGCCAATCCAACTGTTTTCTTTTGTCTCTTTTAAGGGAGCTGAAATATGTGATTCAGAGATTTGCAGAAGACCCAAGGCAAGAGGTAAGCCTTTCCAGTATAAGTAGAGTCACAATCCAAGGGACTGTGAGTGTACTTGTCAAAACATTCTTGCGTTAAATAGCACATCCCCAAACACTGTGTAGTTCTTAGTCTACTGCCCTTGAGTCACCTCGCGAGCTAAAATGCATTCAAAACATAGGCTGCCTTATTATGAATAGCTTCTTGCCTCGTGTATAAACATGCACTCCGCCCTGTTTGTCTGAGATTTGGTGATGTCTCTGCTTTGAAGTAAACTGCAACCAGCAAGAATTATTTTCCTATTTTCTGTCAAATCCCCATAGACTTTTTCCTCCTCTCTTGAAAAGAGTAAAGCAGCAAGCTCTGGATCCTGTCATTTCCCAAATGACAAGTTTTGCCTTAGCAGCATTTCAGTTTCAGTATGCACAAATGACCATGGGTCTCCTGAATTAAGAGGAAAAAGGGGGAGGATGTTACTGGAATTAGTGCATAGCTATTGCTTCAGGACAGCTAACTACTTCACAGCCACATGTGTAACTTTTTAACATAATCAGCTACAACTGAGTGGGACTGGGCCTCTCATCTCCATTAACTTTCTATATCAGCACAAAGTGAAACAAGATACCCCAGAACTGCGGGCTGGGAGTGGGCTGAACCTGCATTATAGTCATTACCCAGGATTTCTGACAAGCTCTGCTTTAGATTTTGTGGGCCAAACTTTGGTGTAAGCCCCTAATCTCCAATAGAATTATGCTGCAAATGAATTTGGCCCTGGATGGTTACATGCCTAATTGAAAGCTAATTGGCACCACCTCCCCCCAATCAAAAAGCTAAAATAAAAAAACTGTTCATTGAAAAACAGAAGTTATAATTGTAACTGTGTGCCCTCCTGTCTGCTCCACAACAATCATAGAATCAGAAAAAAATTAGGGTTGGAAAGGACCTCACAAGGTCGCATCTAGTCCAACCCCCTGCTCAAACCAGGACCAGCTCCAACTACATAATTCCAGCCAGGGCTTTGTCAAGCCAGGCCTTAAAAACCTCCAAGGATAGAGACTCCACCACCTCTCTGGGTAACTTGTTCCAGTGTTTCACCACCCGCCCAGTGAGAGAGTTTTTCCTAATATTCAACCTAAACTTCCGTTGCTGCAACTTGAGTCCATTGCTCCTTGTTTTGTCATCTGCCACCACTGGGAATAGTCCAGCTCCATCCTCTTTTAGAACCACCCTGCAGGGAGTTAAAGGTTGCAATCAAATCCCCTCTCAGTCTTCTCTTCTTCAAACTAAATAAACCCGGTTTCCTCAGCCTCTCCTTAGAAGTCACATGCTCCAGCCCCCAAACCATTGTTGTTGCCCTCCTCTAGACTCTCTCCAACTTGTCCACATCCTTTCTAGAGTGGGGGGCCCAAAACTGAACACACTACTCCTGATGTGGCTTCACTAGTGCAGAACAGAGATAAATAATTACTTCCTTTGGCCTGCTGGCAACATTCCTACTAATGCAGCCCAGGATGCTGTTAGCCTTCTTTGCAGCAAGGGCACATTGGTGACTTGTATCCAGCTGATTGTTCACTGGAGCTCCCAGGTCCTTTTCTGCAGAGCTGCTGCCCAGCCAGTCAGCCCACAGCCTGTACTGGTGCATGGGATTGTTCTGTCCTAAGAGCAGGACTTTGCACTTGTCCTTGTTGAACCTCATGAGATTTTATTTGGCCCAATCCACCAATTTGTCTAGGTCTCTCTGAAGCCTAGCCCTACCCTCCAGCATATCTACTACACCCCCCAGCTTGGTGTCATCCATGTTCTTGCTGAGGGTGCACTCTATGGCATCTTCCAGATCATTAATGAAGATATTGAACAAAATCAGCCCCAGGACCAACCCCTGGGGCACTCCATTTGATACCGGCTGCCAGCTACACTTTGAGCCATTGATTACTACCCATTGAGCCTGACAATCCGGCCAGTTTTCTATCCACCTTACAGTCCATTCATCCAATCCAGTACTTCCTCAGCTTTCTTGCAAGAATGCTGTGGGAGACGCTATCAAATGATGGTATCAAAACAATATAGACCTACAAAACCTACAATGAAAATTGCAATTCTGGGTTGGAGTTTGGATTACAAAGTTCACAGCAGCTTGTTTGCATTTTTTTGCGTTCCCAATTTCTACCTTCTCCGTTTCTGCGGAAGTCTTTTTATTGGCTTCCTTCCCTCCCTGCATCTGGCGAAGTTGCATGGCAGCAGGAAGAATACCAGCGTTACATGATTAGAACAAGCAACCCACAATCCAGTCACTTCTGCTTTTTGAATCGCACTAGAAACTCAGACACACACCATGCTGGGATCCTGGGGGAGAAGCTCGGAATGTTACATCTTCTTTGTTTTCAAGCAAAAGGAACTGTTCTCAGTGAGGCTCCATTTGGGTAAAGAAAATGCAGAGGGCTATGTAGTTAGTGTTAGAACCCTCCCACCCCTTGTTTATGCTGGGAGGGCCAATTCTGTTGAATGATGCAAAATTAATTAATTTTCCTACAGCCCTGTCAATAATAATATTAACCCTTCAACTCCCCCTCCCCCCAAAAGGTGAAAAGCAATCCACCTGCTTTGCTGCATTGCTACTTAGGGGATGTTGTGTGCTATGCAGGGTATGCTGACAGTACCGGAGGGAACCCTAATGTTCCAAGTGTCTGCTTTGTTGGGCAGGTCCACTCGTGTTTGCTGAGCGTGCGGGCTGGCAAAGATGGCTGGTTCCAGCTCTACAGTCCTGGGGGCGTGGCCTGCGACGATGACGGAGAACTGTTTGCCAGTATGGTACGTGTCTGCAATAATGTGAGTTTAGCAAGTTCTTTGCAGTAAATAGCCAATATATAGCTAGTGAATGGTAGCTTTGTTCCTGGTTGTTAAAATGTTGACACTGCAAACCATGACTCAGAATTTGCCAGTAAATTAAAATGATGATACAACCAACTGAAATCCATTGTTCTCCCTCTTAGTGGCAATTTGGCTTATATGCAGACTATGTGGTAACCAAAGACCCATCCAGTAGCATTTAAAGATCATCAATTAAGAACCTTAAACACAATCTAAAGAAAACCCACGAATGGTTTAAGATAACACATAGAACTACATGTTTCAGCCATGCTGCCTTACATAATGCCTGAGTACCCTCATGCTTTTGCACAAGCAAACTGTGTTTGCATGCCCAGTGGCTACTTATAAAATGCCAGTCTACTTCTGTGTGCAAAGTGACTAACCACACATGCTTGGTTTTGAAAATTTGGCCCCTTTCCTGGTACTGCATAGTAATTATCTAGCGAGTGTTTTACTGTATATTATCCCAGCGATCTGACTATTGAGAAAACAGTCAGCTGAGGGAGCCTGCTCTTGACACCCAGTGCTGGTGTTTTCAGCCTCAGGATTATAATTTAGCACAGGATTTCAAACCAAACTGAAACATTTAAAACAATACATAAAATACACAGAAACTTGGCATTTCTTGCAGGTTTCCCTGCTTTCATGTTTCCTTTCAATTGAGATTTGTGATGAGAACCTTGCTTTTCTGCCCTTTCTTGTAACTAAGAGGGGAAGGATGGCCTTGGAGTTAGGGTAGTGGATGCAAGAGACCAGAGTTCGGTTCCAAGTTCAGGCACATACATCCCGGATGACCTTGACCAAATTCTCTGAATTGCACTATGCCTCAGTTCCCCAAGGTGAAGTAAAAGTAACATCAAGTGTCTTCTGACATTTGTTAATGCTACAGTGAATTGTCTTGCAACAGAATCTAGATTCCCAAACCTTTTAAAAAATGTTACCCCTGGGCCATATAAAATATCTGTATGCCTCTAACTATACAGTTACTGAAAATTGAGCTGGTCAGATATTTGAGGAATAGAATTGTGGTCAAATACAGGTCAGTTTCTTCTCTTTATGAACAGTTCTGGCCAATCTCAGCCCCCTTAATTTATTTAAAAAAACCCAAAAACTTAAACGAATTCACTCCTCTTGAGAAAGCAGTGTGATTTCATGGTGTTTACAAGCACAAGGAGTTGGTTTTCACAAGACAGCCCAATGCTGCTAATTATACCTTAATATGCAGTAATCTGTACTCTTTGCAAGGATGTTGATAAATACTTAAAGAACTACTAACGACTAACTGCAAAGCTTGAAAAACATCCTGTTTAGAGATGGTTTGTATGCTAACCTCTGTGTCAGTACTAGCTTCATTCTTTAGAAAAAATGACAAGGACATTTGTATGGAAGTGAGATCTTTTTGGCTTGGATGTCTCCTTTTAAAAAGGCAATATGAGCAGATGGACACTTAGGAAACAGAGATATTGTGTTCAAGGAAAGTCCTTGCTGATAATATAATGAAGGAAGAAAAATAATACAGTAGCATATGATCAACTCCATACCCAGAATCATCTTCTACAGTAGGACTGTTTTCCATGAAGCTTCAGCAGCTTTTTAACTCAAGCAGGTATCTTGCACTTAATGAAACTCAGGGTGCAGTTCATAACATGGCTTTCCTCTAAAACATCTGAAGCCACAAAATGCTGCACCATGTGTAGAGTCTGTCTTTTTTTTTTCCTCCCCAACTACTCCATAGTGTTCTTTGAACTTTCACACACATACGCACAGACCCGAGTGTGCCTCTGCTCTTACCAAACTCACGCTGTAAAGGGTATGTAAATGATGTAGCCGCTGTGCAACAGCATTGCTGCTGGCTCCAGGGCTCCAAGTACATGCTCTGCCCAGTGTCTGCATAGCTCATCAGAAATTGAGAACTCCTTCACGTGGCTCTTTCAGGAGTGGGCTGTTGGGTTATTTCTAGTGAAATAGCCATGAGCATTGTATGTGCAATAGCCATGAGCTAAAAATCATGGATTCTCCCACAGTCAATTCCAAAAGATTTGTAATTAGAGGGAAAGCATTGCCATTCTCTGTTAGGAGAGGCTAGATTATGATTGAATTGTCCAGGTGGCTCTGCACTCCAACCATTTGTACGCTTATGGTGGGCTATTCCATGATGTTCCCAAGAGGTTTGAGATTGGCCATAGAATATGGAAATTGGGATGATTAAAAATGAACGAGGGACCAGTGACATCTTTTCTTCCGGGGGAAAACCTGAGGAGGAGAAAGCAAAATGTGTCACCTGAACAGTCAGGTATAGGGAAACTCCCCAGGCTGTAGTACAGCTCAGTACTTTGTGGAAACCTGTCTTTCTCAAGGCACTGCTGTCTCCCTGTCACAATTGGCCATTTCTGTAGGTTCACCCCTTGTTGGCTGGGTCAGGTGGCGCTGCTGCTTGTCACCTGTTAGGTCAGGTGTTCAAATCCTGGCAGATCAGTAGCAGTAACCAAAAGTCGTTATTTTCTATACAGCCATCCAGTAGCCTGATCATAGCACAACCCAGCATAACCTGAACTACCTAAAGAGAAGCTCAGTTAGGAATGAGCACAAAAACCTGCATTCGAGCTGCTCTTCTGAACTTTTTGATGATTCTTCTAGAGCAGGGCTCAGTCTAGTGGCAGCATTGTTGAAGGAAGATTTGACTGATGTCATGGGGAAAACGGAAGGCTCCTCCTGTATTATCCCTTCGGCTTTGTCATCCATGTATTGACAAAGGACCACTGTCCACAATAAAGCTGTCTAAGTATTACAAGCTCTGCAGGTTGTGATTGCATTTTCCTGGGGCTTGTGGCAAAGTTGCCCATGCTGGTTTGACTGTTTGGCAGCACCATTCAACAGTCTTCATCTCTCCTCCTCATACAGGTTCACATTTTAATGGGGTCCTGTTATAAAACAAAAAAGTTCCTGCTTTCGCTGGCTGAAAACAAACTTGGTCCCTGCATGCTGCTGGCTCTGAGGGGCAACCAGACCATGGTAGAGGTAATGCCTGGTGTAACAATCCAGATATGTTTTGGGAGGGACGTATGTTGTCTGAATTCTTTACTGCCCTTCCGTAACCAAGAGCTAATGGAATTACAGAAGCATTTAGCCAAGTTGAGCTATTGCATAGTCAAGCGAAACAATAGTGGGGGAAGTTATGTTTTTCTTGATTATGTGGTTACCATGGAATATTGTTGTTCTGCATGAGATACGTGAATGGTGGGGAGTTGTTTTCTTAACTGTAGACATTCAGTGGGTTTGAACTAAGGAATGGCCAGGATTGCATTGGCTGTGGGGAAAGGGCAGGGAAGGGAGGCAACACCATCAGGTTGTCCATTGTTTGTCTTAAGTGATCCTTTACCTTTAGTGTCACGCTTGAATTACTCCTGGTTAGCCTAGGCACAGTCTGGAAAGATGTCCCTCTGTGTTTTTCTTGTCAGGGAGGCTTTATCTTATCTGAGGAATTGCTGAGACCCATCACTGTGATACAGTTTTTCTAAGCTGCCTTCTCCCTCCTCCTGCTCTCATGAAATAAATAGAGAAGGGCAGGAGGATTGATGAGTTTTAATAGTCTCTCAAACTCCTCTCATGACACTGCAGATTAGGTGACTGCTTACTCAGAGAAATAGAAATAACCAGGCTGAACTGTCCATCATTAGCTCTTTGTTCTATATATCCTCCTCCGCTGCCCTGTAAAACAGATCTGACGCTCATTATAGGAGGGGGGAGGAAGACTGTAACAGCCACAGTAACCAGGAGGAATTTTGGTCTTGCAGCTGATGGGGCAGGATTAACACAATGGTAGGGCTGGGGTTTCAAAGGGAGATGCCAGGCATCATGAGAAATGAATGGACTGTGTCACTCTCAGACTCTAGCTATCTGATACCCCTCCTGCATGTCAAAACAAATCATGCTGCTGTCTAGTTCAGTAGTGTGAGAGAGGCTGAAATACAGGCTGCAGGACAGAACACAACTTTTTAAGGACATTTGGATGTCCTTCATGACTTAGATATATACAGATCTAGCCCAAATCTCCATCCATCGTTAGGAAATGGAAAGTATGGCTCACATGTTCTTAAAGAACATTTGAAACTGCATTGGTGCAAACAGCATCCTGGTAAAACCATTCATGTTCAGATCTACATTTATGTGTCCCAGTGTACACAGCCAGTGCATGGATTGTTTTTCTTGCACTGTTAGTGCTGTGGGTGCCTGTTGGAGAAGGCTCCTTTGGAAATGGTACCATGTGGTTTGGTTTAAGAGGAAATACAGGGTGAATTGGCAGGTAGCAGGGATTTTATTTGTTTTATTATCTTATTTCATTTACTTTCAATCACATTAACTCCCTATATTTTATTCCCTTCCAGTGATAAGGGGGTATACTGTGCCACATGAGTCTTGATGAAGATACTTCACAACTTTTCAAGCTTGAATTTAATAGTTTAAAATAGATTATTTTTAACACCAAAAAAAATCAGTAAAAAGGTGGAGGGAGAACTAATTAAATAATTATAAAGCAGTGCTAGTGAGGAAATGAATGGCTGAAGGGAACAGCCACTGAGGAACAGGCTAGATGGGCACGATTTCAGGGATTGAAAGTCATTCTTTAGCTAAAGTTAATGCATTTTAGGGTCAGAATAGATCATTAGATTATCTAGTCTGATTTGCCTAACACTGACTGTCAGATTCCATTGATGGCTGTTGTAGCTAGTTTGGGGCATTCACTACCATCAAAGTATTCAGAAGAAATTAAACACAAAGCTCCAATCTGAATGTTCTTCTCTTTCATTGTGCTGCTAGATTCTTTGTTTGATGCTGGAATACAACATCATTGACAACAATGACACACAACTCCAGATCATCTCTACCCTGGAAAGTACGGACGTGGGAAAGAGAATGTATGAACAGCTGTGTGACAGGCAGAGGGAGTTAAAAGAACTGGTATGTTGCCCTGCACGCAATATTGTCATAGCACATAGCGGTCTGGACTCTCCAGAAATGGAGGTACAAAGGAAAGGCAACCAGGGTGTGAAATTCCGGATGAACAACAGGATGGGAACTGTAATCGGAGGATTTTACTGTACATGTGTCTGTTGTGTGATATTTATTCATGTGTTTGATCACATATAATACTCCTGAATGATATTCAAAACCTGTTAAGGATCAGTGTAAAGATCAATGGTAGGATTTAACTATATTCAGCTTGTCACTTCCTGTTACCCTTTTACATAAGGGTGACTTGTGGGTGCCCAGACAGCCTGGCATTCCTCAGTGCTTTGGCATCCACATCATTTTCTTTCAAGATGCAGCTTTTGGGCACCATTCAAGCCTCAGATAGAGCTGGGGCTACATTAAATAGTCTGGTGAGTTTGTGAGATTGTGGGTTTAAATAAAGCTGGCTAATGAGTTCCACATTTCAAACTTCCTGAAGAAGGGTGAGATTGACAAATTCAAGGGGGATCTGTTTCACAGCCTACCTCCCATTGCACATGTGTATATATACCCCTCTCTCTTCCCCACCCCTCATGTCCTGGAACAGAACAAGCCTGGATTAACTGTGACTTATATAAAATAAAATAAGGGCTCTATCCCTGTTCATACTCCTAACACAACTCCCCAGGAGTATTTCAGTTAGGGTGAGACTGACCGCATGGTGCCTTATTAAACCCAGATTGAATGTCATTCTGCATTACACCAGTGAACACCAACTGGTTGAGTAAAGGACTGCCCTCAGCAGCAGCAAGCCTGTCTTTGTCCCATTGCTTAGGAAACTCAGGAAAAGTTTAAATAATGCAAAAAAAAACTGGGCAAGCTGGTGGGAGGATTGGTAGGAAGCTTAGGAAGTTGGGTAGGGTTTGCTCTGGCCCTGCACTGGATGAGGTCTCATCTGTGGAACAACAGCCCGGATAACCAAATCATGTTTTGTTGTTACAGCAAAGAAAAGGTGGCCCCACGCGGTTAACACTGCCATCCAAATCCACAGTAAGTTCACCTGAATAGTAAATGCAAAGGTGTGTCAGTCCAGTACACAAGGAGGAACTGACACGACAGCTTTAGCAGTTTCAAAAGGGGGAGTGGTCGGGTGTTTCACCGACTTGTTGACAGAACCAGGGGCTCCACAGGGAGGGCAGACTTCCACTCTTAGCTCTGCAGGGTGGTTTGCAAAGCCAATGTGAGCATCAAGTTGCCAGGTTTATACTAGTGCCCATATCTGGAATTTATGGCAGAATCCAATTTGAGAGAATTTTACAGAAAACTGAAGCAAACATCTAGTCTAGTTCTGGATCTTACATATTAGTTTGAAACTGGCTATCATAGTTAGTCAGCTACACTGTCGGTGGACAGGCTGCATCCACCGGAGCGTCATTTGAATCTCAAAGCTGAAATGGGAGGCGGGCAGTAAATGGGTAATCTGGGTTCACTCTGACAACGAATCCCGCATTGTTCATAATCGTATGCATGGTCAGAAGATTCTGCGTCTTCTAGCCCCATGTTTCCAGGATGCATGAGGCAATCCCACCACAAGCATTTAGCTGTTTGCCAAGCAAACAGAAACCTTTCTGTGCCACGCTTTCTTACTGTAAACAAGTGGCTTAGTTGTGCAACTCTTGCTGGTTAACAGGACTGGTGATGCTATGCAGATGCTTGCAGGCTTACCTGCCTTAAGCAACATGCTATTTGCTTTCAGGATGCAGACCTCGCCCGCCTACTGAGCTCGGGATCCTTCGGAAATCTGGAAAACCTCAGCCTGGCCTTTACCAATGTAACGAGTGCCTGCGCTGAGCACCTCATCAAACTGCCTTCTCTCAAGCAGCTGAACCTGTGGTCAACTCAGGTATGTGCTTTGCAGACAGAGGCACAGAGAAGGAACCAACACTGACTAATTCCGAAATTGCACGTTACGTCAGCTGGAGCACATATGAAGAGGCCTGCGTAGAGTGCATTTGCCTTCAACCTAGTTTTACACACTGTTTTATAGTTTTACTTGATCGGGGGGCCATTTTCTTTATAGAAGGCACTTTTTCATCCTGCAGGCTAAGTGCTGCATTGGAAAGCTCTGCAAATATTTTCTTGGATGCTGAAATGGATTTGCTGTTATGTCACACCTCTTTAGCGATTGTGACTTGTAGACAGTTGAGTGGTTCAGTTTGATTTTGCTGAAACCACATTTTGAAGTGGATTGTTGCTCTGTCCTGGATGTACTTCTGCTTTCATCCAGTTAAGTTCTTTGAATCATTTATTTTCCTTATCTGACCAATCACAATTTCAGCAATCCAGGCTGCATATAATATTCAAGGCAACTGTAGTGAATCACCAGCAAATTCTGATAAATCCAGTATTAAAAAAAATAAGAAGAAAGAAAACCCAAATATGAGGACTCTATAGTCTGCTTTTGGTTATTTTGTAAGCTAAAAGAGGAAAAAAATATTGAAAAACTATTCAGAAATTAATCAGAAGAGCTCTTAAGCCCTATTTTTGCCCCTACGTTTGCTTGAGTAGACTTATTTTTCCTAACATTATTACCACCTGTCATAGTGGGATTGTTTCCCAGCGTGGCCCCAAGAATCCTTGTCTTCAGTTTCTTAGAATTATTTTGCTATTTTGTTCCAAGTAGTTTTGCACCCCACAGATTTTGTGTGCAGGGGGAAATGGCACATTCAACATTATAGAAAAAGTTTCACCCAGATTTGCAAATGTTTTGATTTGTGGTTTCTGGAGCTGTTTCTTGCTCAAAATGAGAAGTTGAGTTTTTAGAAGAAAATGCTCCCTTTTTTTTTTTTTTTTTTGTTAAAATTATTCCGTTTTTATTGAGAACAGCTATTGCATCATTTAGCTTTTGATTTTGAAGCAGTTATGGTTCCTCTTAGTTTATAGACGTTAAATGGATCAATAAGACAATTAGCGGGTCATTGTTCTTTTCACCAAAGCAGCTAATCGGTGCAAGCTGTGTTGATTTTTTTTCTATGATGGGGTTGAGAGCTGGGCTGAGACTGTTTACCCATTTTACACGGGCTATGTGGGAATGCTCCCAGGTAAGGGCTAAATTCCAAGGAGACAAGCCAGTGGGAGGAAAGATGGTGAGTTGTGGCTCTGGCTAAAAAATTGGTTGTGACCTTGGACCAGCCACTTACTCTCTGTTTGCCATCTCTGAAACATGGAGAATAGCATTTCATCCATCGTTCTGTCATGTGAGAGGATGATTAATCTGGGGTGTGGTATTGAAGTTTTGGGTACAGCCCTTGCTCCAAACATTCCCTCATCCCAGCAGAATTACTTGCTGAAAGATGTTGTGCGTGTTTTCTAACTGAGCTTGCTTGTGCCCCACAGTTTGGAGATGCAGGTTTGCGGCTTCTCTCTGAACACCTCACCATGCTGCAAGTGCTCAACCTGTGCGAGACTCCCGTCACAGATGCCGGGCTGCTGGCACTTAGTTGTAAGTGTTCAAAATAGACTAGAGGGGGAACGCATACGGGCTCAAACAGAAGGACTGCAGTGCTGCCACAGAAACTTTGCAGCAGTGGCTAGAGAGAGTCCAGGGTCTCCTCCACACTAAAATGTCCTCCAAGGGGCAAAATATGTCCAGATTTAGTGGTGAAAGTCAGTTCCAGGTGCAGAAAACCAGACCTGGATGTGAACCACCTGAACTCTTGGAACAGGCATTCAGTTGGTCATCCCAGCCTGGGTCCTCCTCCTCTTGTAGTAATATCGATGTAATTCATTCCCGTCTTGTGGTCTGATCCAACTGTCTCAGAGCTGTGTGGCTTCTTTTATGTTCCTTACTGTGCATATGTGGGGACATCTTGGGGCACAAGTTGGCATGTAGAAAAAAACCACTACAAGTCAATTGGGGAGATTAGCCAATTGCAGGGGAGGTTAGTATTGCCTGTATTATACTGTTCCTACATTTTGGCAGGTGAGACCCCTGATCTTTTTATTTATAAATATTAGAGGTAAAAAGAAGAACAAAGGTTAATAGAACCAGGAGGAGGAACCTCCCAGCCAGATAGGAGAGCCCAGAGTGCAGGTAGACAGGAAAAAGAAGAGATCACCGCTGTGTCTAGATCAGCACACCTTTTCTGCATAGTGTGAGCGCCAGCACAGTGAGGACTGACATCATTCAGAATGCCCTACAGGCAATCCATGGTCTTAGGCATGGAAGGCATTCAATTCAGGAATGTTTGAATTCCTAGAAGTCAATGGAAGTTATGCCCAGGCTTAAAGTTGAGGGCTCTTCTGGAATAGGGACGTTTCCTTGAGGTGGGGTCAAAATGCTGATTCCTTCATCTGCTGTTATGTACTTTACTTCATGCAGCCTGATACTGAGACCTGTTCCCATATCAAAACTTTTTGGATGTACATGATTCGATACATGAACTTGAAATGTTACAGGTCTGCACCATACCCATAAATATGTTTTCTTTTTCAGCTATGAAAAGCCTGTGTAGTCTAAATATGAACAGCACCAAGCTTTCAGCAGACACTTATGAAGATCTCAAGGTATTTCAGTTCATAAGTTGTGTTTTAAGAGCTGAGAAGTGTCCAATGAATACTGCCAGTGTCATGTGGTGATGCATCATGCAAAGAAAATAGGATGTCCTGTAGCCAGCCTTAGACCACAGAAGTGTCATACAGTCTTCTGCTTAGATGGGTGATAGGAGAGTTGTAGTGGTGTAGCTGGGATGGTCCAGGGAACATGCAAGAATTGTCTGGTGATATCGTTTACTAGGCCAACAGTGGTTGGGAGAGAAGTTAGACAAGCTTTTGGGCACAAAATATTTTTGCTCAGATCTGGGAAAGAAACAGATTCAGCCCCAGCTGAATAGGTAAAACCGTGACTGTTTTTTAACTGCATTTTGTAAATGAAAATAGTCGCTTAAAGCAGGGGAAGAATATGGTAGCGTTTTTGGTCCCCATCCTTGGCCAATTAGCACGGCAGTCTTGCTTGAAGAAGGTAATGTTCTGTAGTTCCACAGCAGTGGAGAAATAGTAGATTTGGGAGTCCAAGGCAAAGTTCAGATATCTGTTTGTCTGGTTGAATGAAGCATCTACAAGCAGAGTCTGACAGACTATGGTTTACATCACGTACGGCATATTGTGTAGCCATATTGTGTTTTTTTTGTCTGGACAGGGAGAGGATGGGGTTCATTCTGGTGAAACTTGACCACAGAAATTGCACATAGGTTCTGTGTTTACTGACTCTGTATTAGGTTCCACATCCAATCTGCTGATTAAATGAGCAAAAGTTGACTTTTCCTACTGCCAGCAGCTCTCATGCCAACCTCAGTAACGATTTATTGGATGGTTGTCACAACAGAATCTGATTGACTATTCCAAAGCTGTGCATGCAGTGTTAGCAGGATTCAAATCAACACATGTTTGTTTAATCGGGACATGAAGGGGCTATGACTTAGAATACATATTGGAGTTGTTGATCGAGGTGCCTTCTTGAGTAGGAGTCTGCTTTACATAGAGACACCTGTGCAGCCCCTGCGGTGGTTATGAGCCGTGTCTGTTGCTCAGCATTGTTATGGTGACTTTGCAGCCAATGTGGAATGAAATGTGCCTATCATCTAGGGACCATCTGAAATGTAAAAACCGCCGATGACTGTGTGGACTTTTTCTTTACTTGGGTCCTAAGTGAGTCATATGCCCAGAGTCTCGCTTTGCAAACCCAAATACTCAAAGTGAAATTCTGCATTTCACTGACTTTGATACGTTTGGAGATTGACTCAGGCTGCTCAAAGAGGTCACAGACCTGCGCTGAATTTCAAACTCAAGACAAGTCCTGAAACTTTACATTTAGCTGGCATTTGAGATTCATTGCAAACACATGTCCTTGATCGCTCCCTGGAGCGAGAGCTCTGCCAGGCTGGTAGCATGTTTCAGGAACTTCATTTGTAAGCACATGCATATGAATAGGTCATTTGCATTGGCATTAACACAGTTGCACTTGCATGAGGTACTTTCCTAAGCAAATGATTAGTTGTGTATCCTTTACACACAGAATTATGATTATTTAAACTCAGGGCTGTCTTCCTGAAATCAAGTGTGTTTAAACAAAAAAAAAAATTATAGAAGGTATTATCTGGTCCTGCACTTGCCCTGGGCCTCTTCCCCCCCACAACGTTTTCTGTGGTTTTGAACTCACATTTTCCTTATTTGGTTCTCCTCTGCTCTGTTGCTGCATCAAAAGACCACACAAGCAGCCCACGAAAGTGACTGTACAGGGCAAACAGCGACACTTTCTATGTACAGAGTGTCACCAATTACAGCAGATTGAACAAGCCAAAAACGCAGTGCTTTTCTCAAAGGGAAATGATTCTGCAGCATATAGCTTGTCCTTGATTGTGTGTTTGTCAAGAAAAACTGTCCAGACCTCCGAGCATGTTTCTGACAGAGACCTTTTCTACCATTCTCCTGGTTTCAATGAGTATTAAACATACAAGCCAGTATAGCAGGGATGACATTTCCTCTCCACTCTGGCCTCAACCCCACCAAACAAACATGCTTGAACATACACACGGACAGGTTCAACCAGAAGATAAATTATCACTCACTGGAGTCGTTATTTCCCCACTGAAAAATTATTTGCTGGCAGTGTCTCCCTCGCATCAAAATACACATGTGCATAAATCTAGCTTTGAGGTAAATATTCTTCCCATGAACTTCAACAGCTTGGTAGTGCCCTAATCTAATTAAATGTGTTTGGTTTTGGACAGTTGTACCATTATAGAAAGAGGGCTTGGAAACACAGTTGATAAGTAATAGTAGAACCTAAATATGATCTAATTTACATTTGAATAAGTCAGAGGTATTGAGTTCTATGCCATTCCCTTTTACAAGTAATTCAGAAGATCAGGATGAAGCCAAAAGTTATTAATATTTTCTGGGATCTTTATAATACATCGAGTGGAGAAGAATTAGGCTTTGACACAGTGCAGGGGGCTGAGGAAAGAGAGGGCCAGGGAAGCTGGGTGTTGTTATGTGACTGCAGCGTTCTGAGTTGCTATTCAAAGGGTTTTACAGAAACCACTTTTTGCTGCTTGGCACTGCAGGAAATAAAGAGCAGGGACCTAATCCTGACTTTGCACCAGTGTAAACTCACTGACTGAATAGTCATTTCTGGTTTATCCTGGAGAGTCTTAAGACCAGAACCAGGTCCCATGTGCCTCTGAACTTGACTGGCTCATTTCTTCTGGAGAAAGTCCCTGGTGCGTCAAGCTCTTACACAGAAAGTACTTAACTCTGTATTGAGCAAGGCTCCTCCTGCCTGCATTAGAGGCCCATCTATGTGTTTGCAGTATCAGTTAACATGCCTTTTTGGGGTGACTATTTTGGTTCATCCCATATGCCCGTCCTCGCAGTGCCGGCTTGATGCAAAACTTCTTTCAAGTCCTGCAGCCTTATCATTCATTCTAATTAATCTTTTCCCTCTTCCACACAGGCTAAATTACCCAACCTGAAAGAAGTAGATGTTCGCTACACTGAAGCATGGTGAACTCTCTCTGTCTCTCTCTGTCTCTCTCTTTTAGCATCTGGCAAGAAGAAAAAGATTTTTAAAACAAAACCAAACCCCAGAAAACACCTTTTGGCTGTAGAGCAGTGAGTTCTGGGACTTCGATTCTAGGAGTTGTGGTTGTGAGATAGAGGAGTCGCTTTGTGTGGGGGAGGGGGAACTGAGCGCGCCCAGACCCTGCCTGATTCTTTCAGCTTCATAATTTCAAAATCAACGTAACTTAAATTGAAAAAACAAAAAAGACTTTGTAGCAGCAAGAGGAAAAACACCCTTTGTGGATTTACTTTGCTATTGTGTTTTACAACATGTGGAGAAAAAACAAAGAACACAGCCATTTCTTGATATTAATTGGGTTTCTTTGCCTGGGGGTTGTCCATTAGGAGCTCCATCTCCATCATTTTGGCTCCAGGAAAGCCAACCGCAAAGTACCAAGAGAAGAAAAAACAAAACCCCACATGAGTTGCACCTCTCCCGGTGTCCTTGCAGTTGTTATGCAAAGTAATTTTGTTGTACATAAGATTTACATAATGCACCTATTTAAGAAAATGGTTCACAAATTACAGGTCTGGGACCTGTCTTTTATTTATGAATTGTTAATTCTTTTACCCTTTTTTGCGTATAGTACTGTATAAACTAGTTTGCTGTCTTGTTGTTGTTGTTATTATTTTTTAAAAGGAAAGCCCTCCTTGATGAATTGCCTTTTAGTAATGCATACTGTATTATAACCTCTCTCTGTCGGAGCATTCACCCTGTTGCATTTCTGATTTCAAAATGCCTCAGACATCATCTAGTCAGACGGAAAAAAAATACATGTATAAAAGAGGGCATAGGGAGCTGGGGTGGGAGAGGCAAAGAGATGCCTACAAAGCATAAATCTCCTTCTGGAAAGACAGAAATCTTTCTCTAGTTCTTTTTAGATCCTGTCAGGTGTAGGGGTTTGGGAGGTAGGGAACCCGGATTGTTTGTTTTACCAATGGGATATTTACAAAACTTTGTAGATTTCACGAGTCGCCTCAGTTGTTTTCTGTTTACGTCCAATATTTCAAGCTCAAGTTCTCCTGCCCCCCGGTCCACAAGCCTATTCTTTTCCCCTCTCCCGCCCTCTTCCCTTCCCTTTTTCATCATGCACGCATTGTTTTGCATGTTCCCCTTGGGAGACTGAGAAAATAACATTGTCCCTGATTTGATAGTTCTGCCATATCTGTAAATGTGACCACTACTTATTTCCAAACCCTTCTTCACAATTGCTTAGAAAATGATTTTTTTTTAATTGTGGTTTGTTTTATAAATATACTGTTGGATTTGTTTTTCATAATGAGCCTTTGTACAGAGCGGCATCTTTTTTTGGTTAATTTTCTCTCTTGGCTTATCACCATTCTTTTATTCTTCAGCACCTCAAGATTAACATACAGCCAATATAATTTTTTTTATATATGAATATATATATATTTAATCTTATTCAGTGGAAGCCAAGCTTTTTTGTTTTGTTTTTGTTTGAGGTTTTTGTTTTTTACTTTGTTGCTAGTAGATAGCCCCTGCCCAAAATTAAAAAAAAACAAAACAAAATGAAACAATTGGTTTAAGTCTTAACTCTCATAGTGTGCCAGATTTTTTTCCCCTCAAGTCCCAAACTGTATGAAAATACAGTGCAAGAAGAAAAAAGAAGAAAAATTATGCCAACTTTTTTCCTTAGCACTATTGCTTTTACCGATGGTTTACTACTCCTGTTCTGTAACTGTGTACAAAGAGATGTGAAATAATTTCAGGCAAAAATAAACTGTAAGTGAATATCTTTTAGCTGCGTGCTTTGTGCTTTCTTTGAATAAAGCTCTTGTATGAGCTGACGGCGTGGGAATATTTTGGGAGATGCTCGGTACTTACTAGTGAAAAGGGCTGGGACTTGAGAAGTCTATTTAATACCCAGCTCCCTCTTGGTAAAATAATTTCTGGTTTGGCCATTTAAATGGTATGCTCATTGAGTCTGGGGCTGGCTTTTACCAAGGGCCCCTTGCACAGTGGAGCCGTGATTTCGCCGTGGGGCTTCTGGGCCCTTCTGTAACATAAAAATGACATTAATAAAGGTGATGGGCACTAATAGAGGAACCCAAATGGCCAGAACACAACCTTGAAGGAGCTGATGCTTCACTTCCCTTGCTTTGTTTTAGTAGTAGGGTTTTTTCTATGAATACAGTGGTTTTGAAAATCTGAGACCCCCCCCCCCCCCCCCAGGAGACTGTTCATCCACAAAGCAAGGAGCAATAGCCCTGGCTTCTTCCACAGCCTCCAGGCAATGTCTCCCCTAAAGTTTAAACCTAGTAAGTTAAGACCTAAGACTCCTAGAGCGTGTTGATGACTGGGAGCATAGTTGAGCCTCTGACTGCTCAGTCCTTAAGTTTCCCACTAGGCCTGACTATTGACCTGAAACATTCCTCATAGGCACAGAACTGCCACGTCTCGGATTTTGTAACATATGTACCATGTCAAAAATGCCAAACCTCATGGCACAAGCCATCAGACAACCTTTGGAATAGTAACATCAAAGGAATAGTTCCTAGAAGAGGAGTAGTGGTGTAGTCACCATCCTTGGAGGTATTCAAGAGGAGGCTGGACCAGCACCTCGTTGAGCTTGTTTGAGCCCAATAACCTCCTGCCCGCGGCAAGGGACCGGACTTGATGACCTTCCGGTCCTTTGATTCCAGGATTCTTACATCCTTCAGTGACGATCACTCTGGGCTGGATTTGAACTTGTGACTTGCGAGGGAAAAAGCTCCTCAGCCTTATACAGATTCCTGAGCCAGTCAGCTCCTTAACCTGCGTGTTCCCCACACAGTTACCTGGCAAGTGATTCAGGTCAGTCATCCAAAGCCGCAAATGCTGGAAATACTGTGACATTTCCAGATCTAGAGAAGTTCTGATAAGCTTCGGGAAAGCCTCCAGATGGAGCTGCCTGATCCTTTTGGAGGTTTGCCCATTGTCCTTGATAAAACACCACAGTGTGTGGGCAGGATGCCAGCAAAAAAAATGCAACCTTGGCCTTGCAGTAATGTTTCCAGAGTCTGGACGTTTATCCAACCCCCTTTTTCTCCCCCCGCCACCTCCCCCCTCGTTTTTAAACAAACAGGTCTGCTCCCTTCTGTCCCAGTTCTGCTTCAGTCTGCTCCCAGTTCCAATGGCTTCAGTCCTTTGCTGAAGCCATTGGAGCCAGGCAGAAAAGCTCCTTTATTTTGCAGCACAGACAGTAGCATACGACTAAAGAAAATGCAGCTTTGTAGAACTCTTTCACTCAATCGGCAGGACAGCAAGAGGTCCTCAAAGTGGAAAAATCAGGCTTTCACCTTGTCCCACTGCAATAAATGGCCCTTTACTTCCATGAGCCGACACTCAGTCCCTACTCCCAAGATCCAAGAGTCAGTGTCAATGCAAGAAGTGCCAGTCCTGCCATTCCCAAGATGTGCTAAGCCAGCCTGTGGCTCTGAGTGTATGCTGTTGTGGGTGGGATGGATGGACCAATGCCAAGGAGTAGTACCGAAATCCTTCCTTCCCAGGCTACTGCACTGACCATGCAGTACTGGCAGGGGACTGTGAATGTCTTCAGTATTGCACATTTTAAGTGCATAATTTTGAGTGGCTTCCCCTCACCTAGAGGCTGCTATCATACTGCTGTCTTCTCTTCTGGGGGAGCCCCAAACCAGACAGGAGAAGGGCCTTCTCATTATTCATCTGGCCAACCTGGCTTCAACGAGTCTTTCTAGGCTCTGTGTAAGAACCTGTTTGCCTTAAATCCCCCCAAATGCCCTGTTGTATAGACTGGCTTTTTTCCTGAGCACGTGCTCATCTTTCACCCCCAGACCCAGATGGGCCAGTGTCTAAATAAAAAAAATAAATAAAAGAACAAGCTAGAGAGATGATGTTGTCCTCAGATATTGGTGGTCTTGCTCAGTTGTCAATAGCCATCTCCATGGCCATTGCCATTGGCAACCAGCCAGTGACAACAGCAAAGAAATGCTCTTCGAACTTCCCAGAGATTGCACCGGCCCAGTTACAGTCATATTGAAGCAGTCGGAGAGTTGCACGAACGGAGTAATAAGATCTGATGTGCTGCATAGCCCTTACGCTGCAGGTTTTTTAATGGCCTTTCTAGTACTGCATTCAGCTTCCCTAAAATTCCCTCTGGATGTGGTACTCTTCCTCCTTCCTTTCCCCTGCCATGTGTTGGTGGTAGGAGCTATTAAAACATCACCAGTTCCCACTTCAGAGGAGTCTATAGTTGCATCTTCCAAGGACCCAAGTGGGGTTCGATGCTAGATCTTCAAAATAGGATTTGAACCGTCAATGTGAGCGCATGGGAAGGTCCTGAGCAGTGCTACTGCTTCTGGGCAGTGCTTCTGTACTAACCACCTTGTTTCAGGTGTGGTTACCCTGAAATGAAAGGTTGCATTTGTGCTTCCTTTTGGGTCCTTCTTGCTCAGTTGGAAGCAGGGATTGTGGGAAACTGTGTGCAGTATTTTACAAGACCAGGGAATTGTGGCAACACATGGGGGAATTTTGCCCAACATGTCATTGCAGTGAAAAACTGATTGGACCTGTAAATGATTCCATCTATGTCGCTCCACAGGTTACCAAGAGGTGGAGGTCTTTTGGTTTCTGTTCGGATCATGTAAATCCTAGGGTTAGGATTTAGAGAGACCTCAACAGATCGGAGGACTAGGCCAAAAGAAATCTCATGAGGCTCAGTAAGGACAAGTGCAAAGTCCTGCACTTAGGACAGAACAATCCCATGCACTGGGACAGGCTGGGGGCTGACTGGCTGGGCAGCAGCTCTGCAGAAAAGGACCTGGGGAGTACAGTGGACAATAGGCTGAATATGAGCCAGCAGTGTGCCCTTGTTGCCAAGAAGGCTAACACCATCCTGGGCTGTGTTAATAGAAGCCTTGATGTGCCTGATGATTTCTCTGCAAAGCAGGAGCCCCTTTCTGAAATTTTGCACAATCTCAGGCCCTTGGGAGTGTGGGGAGTTTTCCTAACCTTTTGACTTCACTTCCTACCACAAATGTTCTTGTTTGACCATAAATGGGCTGTTTGGAAGACAGCGACCATCCTGAAAAACAGCTGAAAGTCGGTGAGTATACTAGAAAATACTTTCTACTCCCTAGCAGCACTCCATGTCCCAACTGCCTCAGTAAAATGGCTGCAGTGGTTCAGGCATGACTCCTAAATACTACATCCAGCTGCAATGGCAGGCATGGAAATGCTTGATGCTGACAGGTCTCCCCAAATGATAAGCATAGATTTTTTTTTGAGGTTTGAGCTGGACGTAAGACCTCTTGTTTGCAGGCTTACTTGTATTTTTGTCCTTGGCAGGTCTAAATGCAAGACAGCAATAAACAAGCATCAATGCCAAGTCTTCGAAGCTTTAACTTGGGTTTCTTTGAAACACTGGAGTAAAGACCATCAGTAGACGATTGTGGATCTTATGCTGTCCTGAGACTGGTAGCACCAGAAGGGGAGATCAAGTCTAGTGTTTTCTAGGCCTTTTATCATTGCATTTCCAGTGAGCATGTACAATTCATACTTCCAGATCTCTGAAAAGAGATCAGTTAACAAATGCCTGTTATCTTTATTTGGATTGTACGTTGGTCTGTAACGCACACATACTCGCCCTATATTGGTATCTTCTTCCATCATGGAACGCAGCTTGGAGAAAGCCATTCCTCCTTTCCGTAGTGCCCTTACTTTCTCTGCATCTTTAAGAAGTTAAAACACAGCTCCACAATCCTTCTGATGTGAAGGACAACTTTGACCTTTCTTGGCTTTTTTAGAGTCAGCCAGATGTACTTATAAAAACCCATCATTCAGCTGTATTGCTGAGTATCTTGAATTCTTAATGATATTTTGCCAACCAAATATAGTGCATGCATTAAAATATTTGTTTTAATGCCATCTATGACATTCAGTTTTTTCCATGTCCTTTTCAGCTGGCTAGAGAAGGTCTCCAGTAAAATATGCGAGATGAACCATTTTTATTACTGACATGTCTTGGAATATACTTTTTAAAGTCAATAATATTGAATATACAGGGTTTTTTTCTGTTAGTCTGGTACACAGTGTCTGTTCTGAATGTTTATACTTACATTTTGAACTATTATGGTAGTACATAATACTTACTTTTGAAACGGGACCTATTAACTTCCAAGTCTCTCATGCAAATACAGGGATCATATGATCATAAAATAAAATTGCTAATAAAATTCATATTAGAACAACTTTTTTCTTTTGTATAAAGTGGCACTAAACTCCTTTTTTAAACAAAAAGTCTAAATGTGTAATGTAAAACTGTATTCCTTTCAAAGAAGGGTTTCCCCCATCTTGTTTGTGTGTGGTATGTCTCACCGGGCTGTATTTAAAGCATGGAAATAATGAGGTAAGAATATATTCACAATTTTTACCAGTGATGACTGTGAGATTCAGTGATAATTAATGACATGCACCTCTTTTGAAAAATATTTTGGAGTTTACTGCCAGAAAGCGCTGTATAAGAGCTATGCATTACTGTCGCGATTATTGTTTAATTAGTAAAATAGTAAGTTGGGATCCTGAACAGCCTGATGTATTTATTAAGAGTACTTTGAATTTCATTGTGAGCATAACAGCAGGATAAGAGTTGCAAGTTCCATTTGATCCCATGTTTATTCCAAGAGGCAGGACTGCTCCAGACGTGATTTGCCTTCAAAACTTTTCTGAAGTTCCTTCTTCCATGATCCAGTTCCTAAATATCCCTGTTCCCTATGATGCTTT